GATGAACAGGTGGGTAGATGGGTGGGCAACAGATAGAATGAAGGACAGAAGAGTAAAAAGATTTCCATGACATGCAGGGCTCTACTAGGTCTTGCACTGAAACTAAATTAAAAAAACAAAACAAAACAAAAACACAAATCCCTACCCACTAAAGGTTGTGTTAGTAATGATACAAAATGAGATCAATTGATAACAAGAATAGATGAACACAAAGTGATCCCAGAAGAAAATCAGAGTAGGTGACCTCCAAGCAAAAAGAAAACAGACTAAGGCCTGGTCGTGTTATGGCAGTAGCTACAAACATTGAGGTTATTAATGCGAAGAGGCTGAGTAACCTTCTGCTCAGGAGGAAGTGTCATGGCTCCTGGTTTGTGGCCATTAGGACAGATAGAATGTCATTCTCTGACACCTGCTGATCTGCCCCAGCTCCAGCCAGTAGCTGAAGCACACAGGCAGAGTGGTGGAGAGGCAGATGACCAGGAGCTGGACACCCCGGTGAGGATTACTGATACTGGGACCTCTCTGGCACTGTATCAGAGCTTGGGTGAAGGGGCAACACCGAGCAAGACCCCACAGCAGTGGCAGTATACAGCCTGCTGTGCCCACTCAACACAGCACAGGCCCACAGAGCCACACCACCACTCCCGTGCAGTGAGAAGGGCCCGTGCTGGCCACTGAGCAACCCCTGCTGCCTCTCAAGGCAACTTGGATGCCCTCAACCTCTTCATTGCTAGAATTGTCCATGAACCCTTGCAGTCAGAAGGTCACAAAAAGGTTACTCAAGGACACAGTATCCCATTTCAAACCCCCATCAGCAGCAGGCGAGACTTTTCCATGCCTTGCTGGGACCCGTCACTCACACCCAACAATGCACCCTGTAGGAAAACATCGAATGTCTATTGCCGGTTCTGAGAATCCCCTGAAGCCAGTTTCTTCCCTTTGCCCTCCCAGCAGCTCCTGGGGATGGGAAGAGCTACCCCAACTCACATGTGGCACCCTGTACAACTTGGAGATGGTCGTTCAGGCTCTCAGGACTGGCTGAGTGTGTCTGCCGCCCAGCACCCACTTGCCTGAAAAGACAGCCCAGAATGCTGGTTGCACTCGGTGTGTGGCTCCGCAGCTCAGCTGTTGCCTGTGACTCTGTAGACCCAGCCCTGAGCACACTCCCAGACCACCAGGGCCACACTGCCAAGTGTAGGTGGGCATGACCCCAGTGCCTGCTTACAGTACAGTGCACGAGTGAGGAAACGTGAAGCTCATACTGTGGGGAGCAGTGTCTGAGACAGAGAGGAAGAAAGAAAGGAGACTCCTGGTTCTGGACAGAAGGGCCACATGGAGTTAGATCAAAGAGGCAGGGGCTTTGGATGTGAATTCTGATTCAGACCTCATTCACTCTTTCAACTCCTATTTGCTATGTGTCGACTATGTGCCCAGCCCTGTGTGCGAAGCTGAACACACAGCAGTGGATGAGGCTGGCAGGGCCCTGGCTGCGTGGAGCTTTTAGGCTAGTGAAGGAGACAAAACCCACCTATTACACATGAGTTGCTACACACATGAGTTGTAATAAATGCTATAAGCAGGGAGTCCAGTGCCTTGGGAACAGGTGACAGAGGAACCACATACAGACTGAGGCCTTTCCAAAGAAAGGACAGTCATACAAGCTCTAAAATGTACATGAAAAAGGGGGGTCTCCCCAGCAGGATGGCAGCACGTGTGAGCCCCCTCCCACAGTGACATAGGGGAGAGACGGAAATGAGGTCAGAGGGACAGAGGCCAATGGAGAGAGGGGGTGCAGTGAGGGTCATGAAGGATCCTGGATACAGGAACAGAACTTGGGCCTTGATCCTGGAGGCCCAGAGGGTGACAAGGGGGCTGAGACAGTGCTAGTGTTTCACAACCATATCCATGTGTTCTGTGCAGGGGTCTTAAGGAGCAGAGCCCACAGCAGCAGTGTCGCCTGGGAACCCGGAAATGCAGATTCTCCACCCGATCCCAGAGCTGCGGAATCACACGTCATGGGGGTGGGACCCAGCTACTGTGCAGCACCCAATTTACAAGATGAGCTTGTCTTAGCTAAAATATTTACCTCTGTGCAAAATCAACCCCAGAGAATGGGCTAGACCTCATTTACATTTCTTACCCTCTCAGGTGCCCCAGCTTCCTCCTCCTTCTGAAAAGGCTTCCCAGCCTCCCAGCACAGGCTGCAGGGGTCTCCCAAGCCCCCACTCCCAGCCCTCCCAAACACGTTCACTCCCTTTTCCTCCTGTTCTTGCTAATCATTTAATTTGTCCTGGTATTTCTGACACAAATTAGATGATGGTCAATATGTCAAAGCTTTAAGAGAAAACCCAAAAGTTCTGAGGAGTGCCATGAAAATGAAAGATAACCACGAAAAATATGACATTTGGGCAAAGTTTAAAATGACCGGGCATGCTCAGCCTTGAGTGAATGTCACTGTGGGGAGCCACGGTGACAGTTTTCTAATACACAAGGAATGCATGTAGGAGAAGGGGATCCATTTTTCCACTCTTCAGCAAGAGCAGAAGGAAAAGGACCATCTTAGGTTTCAGCCGGGAAAATATATGTCATGTGTTTGAGCCATAGGAGACGAAGAGCTGCCAAGAGGGCCGGTGAGATCATCCTCGCCAGAGATGCTGGAGATGAGATCACAGCGGCCTGGGTCATGGCCGGCAGGGTGCCTGGACCACGCAGAGTCTCAACTTTACTGGGCTCTGTGCAGGGTCTTCCCACTGCCTGACAATCCCATTGCCTGGCAAGGTCTGAATGGGCAGGGCAGGTGCTGATTCCAGGTTACTACGGTTTGCTTCAGACACCTGGGAATTCAAAGGACGCTATGCACCTCTGCGAAACATTGCATATTGCCTTGTTACCTGGAGGCCAGGATACCAGGCATTTTTTTCATGGGAAAGCCCACGTCTTCCCTTCCTTTAGCCAACTCCTGTCTTCCCAGTAACAGCAACGGCAGCAGCAGCGACACCAACAACAGCAACAACCATCACACGAATAACAGCCACAAGCTATGGAGCATTGCTCTGGGCCAGCACTGCACACGCATTCTTCATACATGCCTCACCACCATCCTAAGACCCATTTCACAGATAAAGAAACTGAGGCCTAGACAGCGCTATGGCCTGTCCATGGCCCCACTGCTGGTCATGGCCAGGATGAGACTTGAGCCCAAAGCTTTCCTGCCCGTAATCATGATCACGCCTCCATGTTGCCAGGAATGAAATCTACACATCAGACAACCAGTAAAGGAATTGATGCAAATGTGGCCCCCAAGACCCTCCTGGGCCTGGCAGGGGCTGGCCTGTGATGATGTTCAGTAGAATGGAAAACACGAGCCTTTTCAAAATCACCATTCTGGCTCCTCTCCCTGAGACATCACCCCCACCCACTCCAGATCTGGTGATATTTAAAACCAAGGCCCTCCCCAAAGGCCCCCACCCCTGCCTGGTCTGGTCTGCACCACCCCATGCCTTGCCCCACACAACCCCACCTTGGACCTCAATGAGCCTGCAGGGCTGCTGGTGGCATGGACGTCCTTCATGCATCATCACCACCTCCAAAACCAGCAAGAGCGCAGGGTTTCCTAGCAGCCTCCCTGGCCATTGACCACCATGTGTTTTTGATATGCAGCCAGCACTCTCCGCAGAGGGCCCCTCAGTCAGGACGGTCTACAGGCTACTGCAATTAGAGGGGATACTGTGCAGAGACTGCTGTCATGGCTTCAGCTAAGCCTGCATCTGATGTTTAGCCAATCTTCCCTTTTATGCAATTCTAGGCTTGCCTGGCTTTCGTACTTTGGCCTCTCTCTGGTGTCCTGAGGATGGCTGAAATGGCTTCTATTGCAGACCTGAGGAACCAGTTTTCCTCGGCACTCTGATGCTGTCTGTGCTGGTACCTTCACCACAAGGCTCTCTGGGGTCTCACTCAATATCAGACAGTTCGGCCAAGGGACCTGGGCCCCTCCTGACATGGGACTTTAGACCTGAACACCCACCTGGCCCCACTTAAAGAGCCACCACAAAATAAGCACAGGAACTAGGGTGCACCAGCGGGCTGAGGTCAGGCCCGAGTGCACGTTGATGGCCACAGCTGTGGCCCCTTGCAGGAAACACCACCATAAGGGGAAGCCCGGGTCAGGGCAGGCTGTCTGTGAAGCGTGGCCGACCTCAAAGCGAGTAAAGAAAGATTTTCCTGCTATTCAGATGACTGCGGGCTGATGTCAGGCCTAAAGTCAGGTGAATGATATTTATTCCTTCTTGATGGAAAAGCTGGACTCAGGCCCCAGATGTATATTCCTGGGGAGTCTTAATTTTTCTTCCAGCTTTACCAAGCTCAGTGGAACTTACTTAAAGCAGGCTTTTCCTTCATGCAGAGACAGAGAAGGCCCAAAGTAGCCTGGGGCCCTGGGGAAGAGAAGGAGGCCCTTCTAGAGCTTTGCTCTCCACGCTCCTCTGTCCAAACCAATATATGGGAGAGTCAGGGCGGGCGAGGCAGAGATGGCTCCCGGAGGTCTGGCCTCATTGCCTCCAGACTGTGATGGAGAATGTTACACCCTTGTACAGGGTTACAATGTTACACCTTGTACAGACACAAGAGCATCAACACTCCTAGGTGAACTCAGCCAAGACATGCCGACCTTTGCCCACACGAGCCAGCCCTTAGCTGCTTCTCCAGCAGATGTATTTACTCTGAACATCCCGTTCTCCCTGGTCATCTCTCCTGCACAACGCCTGTGCCCCAACCCCATGATTAGCAGCACACATCTGGGATCCAGATGGGTGGGACCCCCTCTTAAGAAGTGCGTGGAAATATTCCCTGTGGATGGACACCTGGCACTCCTCAGCATTTAACCGGGAGCCCTGGCCATATTATACCAATCATGGCTCGAGAACCTCAGCTCCTGAAATTGTTACTCATCCCTGAGCCATGAGAGAATTAAAAGTAGATAAATTCAAATCAGAGTCAGCTACCTTCATGACACCCTCAGCTTGGAAAGCCACAGCTAATCTCGAAGGGGTCAGTGCTGCCAGCATGGCATTGAATCTTGCGCTCTTGTTCCTAATAGGAGAACGGTACTGGCCATCTGGAGCCACGGAACCAAACCTGTGGAAAAGAGAGGTGGGGTTTCACAAAAAAGCAGGACATAGCACCACTAGAAAAGAAGTCGGGTGGCTCCCATGTGCACACAGGGAAGTGCTAGGATTTCCCCATCCTGGAACTCCCCCCTTGAGACAGAAAGTAGATAAGAACAGGGGGAGTCCCCTCCAAGAGATGCTAAGAAAGGCTTGACTCATGGGAGGTAGTGGTTTCCTGAGACATTAAACCCGCACCAGAACCTGACTGTGCAGACCGCACACTGACCCACTTTTTAAAAATTGAGATGTAACTCACATACCATAAATTTTTTCCCTTCAAAGTGTACAATTCAATGGATTTTCTTAAAGCCACGAAATTGTACAACCATCACCATGATCCTATTCCAAATCATTTTATCACCCCAAAAAGAAACCCCACCCTCCTCATACTACTCCCCTCCCTCCAGCCCTTGGCAACCATTAACCTACTTTCTCTCTCTATGGTGCCTGTTCTGGGAAAAAATTCACATATCAGATGTGGTCTTGATGTCTGGCTTCTTTCACTTAGCATAATGTTTTCAGGGTTTGTTTATGTCATAGCATATGTCAGTACTTCAATTCTTTTCATGGTTGAATAATATTCCATTGTATGGATATGCCATGTTTTCTTTCCTATTTCCTCAGTTGATGGATATTTGGATTATTTTCACCTTTTTCCTATTGTGAATAATTATGCTATGGACATTCGTGTATAAGCTTTCGTGTGGATATGTATTTACAATTCTCTTCTAGACAATGTTTACACATACCTAGGAGTAGATTGCTGGGTCATAAAATGATAACTTTACACTTTTGAGGAATGGCCAAACTGTTTTCCTAGTTGGTGCCACCATTTTGCAGCCCCACCAGCAATGTATAACGAACAGTCCTAGTTTCTCTATCCTCCCCAATACTTGTTATTGTCTGTCCCTTTAATAAGAGACATTGGCCGTGTGTGATGGCTCACGACTGTAATCCTAGCTCTTTGGGAGGCCAAGGCGGGTGGATCACCTGAAGTCAGGAGTTCAAGACCGGCTTGGCCAACATGGAGAAACCCCATCTCTACTAAAAATAGTAAAATTAGCTAGGCATGGTATTGCATGCCTATAATCCCAGCTACTCAGGAGGCTGAAACAGAAGAATTGCTTGAATCCAGGAGGCAGAGGTTGCAGTGAGCTGAGATCGAACCACTGCACTCCAGCCTGGGAAACAGAGTGAGACTCCATCTCAAAAAAAAAAAAAAAAGACATCTTAGTAGGTGCAGAGTGGCATTCGTGGTGGTTTTGATTTGTATCTTCCTAATGGCAGTGACGTTGAGCATCTTTTCAAATGCTTAGCAGTCATTTGTAAATCTTTAGAGAAATGTCTATTCAGATGATTTTTACTCATTTTAAAATTGAGTTATTTGCCTTTTTAATTCTTGAGCTGTAATAGTTCTTTCTATATTCTGGATACTTCAGCCTTATGATATTACTATATATGATTTACAAATATTTTCTCCCACTTTGTAGGTTTTCACTTTATTCATACTGTTCTTCAATGCAAAAAAGTTTTTTATAACTTTGATGAAGTCCAATTTATTTTTAATTTGGTTAGTTGTGCTTTTGGTGCCACATGTAATAGATTGTTTGAACCAACGTCACAAAAATGTATACCTGTGTTTTCTTCTAAGCTCTTACATTTAGGTCTGTGATCCCTTTTTAGTTGATTTTTGTATATGGTATGAAGCAAAGGTCCAGATTCATGCTTTTGCACATGGCTATCTAGTTTGTCGCAGCACCATTTGTGGAAAAGACTATTCTTTCCCCGTTGAATTGTCTTGGCTTTGCAGTGGAATATTAATTGACGGTAATTGTAAGGATTTATTTCTAGACTCTTCATTCTATTCCAACGTCCATACATCAATCCTTACGCAAATACCACACTGTCTGGATTACTTTGTAGTAAGTTTTCAAATCACAAGTGTAAGTCCTCCTACTTTGTTCTTCTTTATCAAGATTGTTTTGGCTATTCTGAGTTTCTTGCATCTCCATATAAATGCTGGTGGTTCTAAGGGGAGCTGGGGGGCTTTAGCACCCACCAGGATAACTGTGAAGATGCTTTTATTGTTTCCATTTTATTTCCTATCAATTCACAGGAGGAAAATGTTAAGCAGAATTTGGTTAACTAAATTGCTTAAACCAAGGTCACAAAAATTTACACCTGTATTTTATTCTAAGCGTTGTGTAGTTTTAGCTCTTACATTTAGGTCTGTAATCCATTTTGAGCTGATTTTTGTAAATGGTATGAAGTAAAGGTCCAACTTCATGCTTTTGCGCATGGCTATCTAGTTTGTCCAAGCACCATTTGTCAAAAAGACCATTCTTTCCTTATTAAACTTAAAAAAAAATTGTTTTTTTCTTTTCCTTTTTGCTTTATTGTTTTTAATTGACATATAATAATTATACATGATGGAGTATAGTGTGATGTTTTGATACATGTATATATTGTATAATAATAAAATCAGGGTAATTGGCATATTGATCATCTGAAACATTTATTGTTTTTTTGAAATGAGGACATTCAAAACTTGTAACTATTTTGAAAAATACAACACATTATTGTTAACTATATCACCTGTCCAGTATCACACCAGAACTTATTTCTTCAATCCAACTGTAACAGTATCCACTGACCAACCTCTCCCTATCCCCTCTTCCTTCCTACCTTCCCCAGCCTATGGTAACCAGTATTCTATCCTCTACTTCTTTAACCTCCATTTTTATAACTTTTATTTTAAGTTCCGGGGTACAAGTACAGGTTTGTTACCCAGGTACTCTTGTGTCATGGGGGTTTGTTGTACAAATCATTTTAAGACTTTTTCCCACACAATTTTCTTAAGCTTTTGCCATCTACTACAACATTTATCTACTGGTAACAAAAAAGAGGAAAGCATTCAAGTAAAATCCATAGGGAGGCAGGAAGACAGCTGGTTGTGTGCACCCTGATTGCTGGCTTTGTCACCGATTTAACATGACTATAGCTCAGGGTTTTTATTGGATGTGTGAAACGCAGCTGAGAAAATTAAAGGTGCTTGGTGTCTCTCAGCTTCTGTAAAGGAACATCATTAACGCCTAGAGCTCCACTTCCAGAACACACCTGGAAGCTGGAAGATAGTGCCTTATCCCCCACCACTCACAAAGGAAGCAATAGCACCCATCTGTTTATAACTGGCAGAAGAAAAAGGAAAAAACCTTAATTCCCCACAATAAGAAATTGATTATATAACTTGTAAAGCATTTACTTAACAGCCTAACATAGTGGTACTAAAGATAATAATGCATGTGTGTTCTTAGCATTAGATAAAAACATTTGCTATATAATGTTAAATGGAAACTATGGATTATTTTACAAATAGAATCTAGAAGTGGATCTTGTTTAGTAAAAATCTGACATCTCTTTAGACATATGGGCATAGAGAAAAGTCTGGAAAGATGTATATTAAAGTATAACAGTCATTATGTCTGGACAGTAGCGTATTGAATAATTTTACATTTTTTTCTATCTGCAGATCTATCTTTTCCAATTAGTTGTCAACAAGCCTGTAAGGGTGGTTATGGGAAAACAGCCCAAACACGCAGCCATGAGACCCAAGAACCAAGCCAACTTTGGAGACCAGTGAGATCACCTGCACCATAGACCTGAGTTAAGGAGAAACGACTCACTTATCCAGCAGGTTTTCCCTAGGTATCCGAACCTTGTGAAATATTAAAATTCCATTGTCCACACCATGCAGACCTGGAAAGAATAGAAAGGGGGAATCTATGCAGCATCAGAAGTATTTTCCCTACTACTTCCCACATCTGTCTCCACTAAAATACAAAGCCCTTTACTTTACTTTCAGAATTGTTGGTGCTTTTTCCTTTGGGTGGGCATGGGGATGTTGTTTCCTTGATGAGCTATGCCTGTTTCTTCCACCAGCATGGCCCCTTCCTCTCTAGCAAGAATGAGGAGAATGGAGAATGGGCTTTCCTTCTGTGCAGCCTGCGTGCTTTGGGGATATGGAGGATGCACACCCACCTCCCAAGCAGTGACTGTGATTAAGAAAGGGAGAGTTCCAAGCAACTGAAAGAATGGGAAGCTGAAGACAGAAGCAGGGAAGCAGGCTTGCTCTCCCCAGGAATGGGGAACAAGTGCCCAAATCCCTCCTCCCTCCCAGTGTTCTCTCATCTGCACACAGGGCAAACTAGTGACAGCAAATGCCTACAAGACAAGGGAAAATAGCCACAAGGACAGCAGGAAGTGGGGGAAGCAACGTGGGGCGGGGAGGGAAGAGGGGTGGTCCTGAAATCTGGCAGATACATTTCCTAAAGACACCTGCCAGAGTCTGGGGTCTTCTCTTTGTTTGTGAAAACTTAGAAAGATTGAATCTAGGGGAAAACAATCTGTCTTTAGTAAATGTCTTTATTTAGAACTTCACCCCTTGACAAGGACATACTTGCATTTAGCAGCTTACAAGGACACCAGAGATTTTCTGCTGTTGCCAGTGTTTTCAATGTCTAGCACAACTTCACAGAGCTCAGCCTACTGCTCTGCTCTCAGCAACGTTTGACATGCAAGGCACTTTTAAGGAGCCCAGCCCAGCCAGGGCCTCGGTCACCCCTGAAAGATACATCTAAAACCCTCACAAACCCATCTGCATCCATGCCTGCAGCTGTGGCAGTAGGCAGTAAACACTAAGGGCCAGGATGGGACTGTCCCTTCCACCAAAGGATGGGCCACTTCTTCCCTCTTTTCTTCCTGCTCTTCCTTCTCTTTTTTTTTTTTTCTTCTCTCTCAGACTCCCTTCCTTGGCTTGGCTTGACCTTGGCTATGAGTATTCATGGGAGCATACAGGCATGTCCTGATCTCATCAAGCACTACGGTTAAAATTGTGTCCCCACAAAATTCATGTGTTGAAAACCTAACCCTTATACCTGTGTATGTGACTTTATTTGAAGATAGAGTCTTTACAGATGTGGTCAAATTAAAATGAGGTCATTGGGGTGGGCTCTAATCTAAATGACTTCTGTCTTTTGTAAGATGGGGCAATTTGGAGACAGATATGCACAGAGGGAGAACACCAGGTTAACATGAAGACAACCATTTACAAGCCAAAGAGAGAGTCCTGGAACAAATCCTTCCCTCACCACTCTTAGAAAGAACCAACCCTGCTGATACCTTCGTCTTGGGCTTCCAGCCTCCAGAACTGTGAAACAATACACTTCTACTGTTTAAGACCCCCAGTTAATGGTACGGCAGCCCTAGCAAACTAAGGCACTGAATTAGTCATCAGGACTCATCAAGGGCCTCATAAGCACATATGTTTAACCTCCTAAAATAGGTGGCCAGGGGTGCAAAGAAGAGAGCTGCAGCCACCCCTCTGAGAGCCCCCAAGTCTAAGGAGAGAGAAGATAGAACAGCATTGTGGGCAAAACTGCCTCGTTATTGGGAAATTTGAGAAGCTGGGGGAAAATTAGACCAATGCACATTCATAAAAGGCAATCTGCAACATTCCTGAACAGTTCTACATAAAATAATTCATGAGGCTTCAAAATCCAGACATCTTCCCTGGGGAATTTTTCTCCATGCTCACTGTTTCAGTGATATAACGTAGGTCAGAGTCTCCTTGAGTAGGGTGGGAATCAGGTAGGAAGAGTGAGCACAGGAGAGGGGTCACCTGGGAACTCACCCTCCTTGTATGTCATATCAATAGCTGTCACTCCTGGGTACAAGCTTCAATTTTCATCCCGGACAGGAACGATGAAACAGTGGGGCCCTAAGAAAGACATAGAGATCATTATTAAGCTCTCCTTTCTATAGCTTTACTCATTTCCTGGAATGGTATAAAATTTCTGTGATCCTCAAACTCATTGAGTTCTACAATTGTGTACCACACATGAGAACATATAATGCCAGATAAATTTCTTCATGCATATTTAGGAGATAAAGTTAGTACTGAATTATTTACAAGATAAAAGCAACTTTGTGAAATGGGTTTTCACTGGTAAATAGTACTAGTGAAGATAATTATTCTAGTTGTCTATGTTAGTGACAAACCTTGAGATCTTCCATCTATGATGAGCTGGGCAAAGACAGCTGCATAATTTCCATACATGGCGTTTCCAACATACATCTTCTCAGCATCTTCACATGGCGTGTCAATTACAAACTCCTACACAGAAACAGCAGAGCAACAGTGTTTCCTTTCCCATGGATCATTTCAACTCTCTGGCTCAAGGCAATGAATACCGTGAAAACAGACCCACACCGTCCAGGGTGCCATTTTCAGGGAATTTCACAGCAAAAGAGAAGACAACGGGAAGGTCACCTGGCTCCAGGTCTTGAAACCAATGCAGCTGACTGTGCTATCATCTCAATTCACTTATTTCACTTCCACCACAACTTTGAAAATGGCTGGAGATTAAAGTGATTTTTCGAGGAACAATCCAATCCAGAAAATAAGTTGCCAATTTTCAATCTTTAAAAGGTGTTTGTTCTCTCCCTCCCAGTCTCTCTTCTTCATAATACCAGGCTGACATGTGCTATTTGGCTAAGCCTGCCTGGCTTTAATGTACAAAGTCTTTCTTCAATTCTCTCTCTAGACTTCTTCATAGCAAAGTTTTGACCTTTAAATCATCTAACACCAAAACCTCAGAAAGCCCTGATGGTCTATGCTCGGCTGTCCACACCCCTCACTTGACCTGCAAGACTTCTAAGAAAGGATGGAACATCCAATGATCTGGGCCCTTAGATGGCTTGTCCCAGGGTCCACATCTGTGAGTTGCATTTTGTCTACTGGTGTTCACTTCTTCTGGGCAAAAATCCTCACTCTTTCCCAGGCTCCGAACCTTCCTGCCTCCATGACATGGGTCTTTGTTTAAATGAAAACCAAGTAATCAAAGGCCAGAACTGTATGCTTGGATACAGCAAGACTGATAGACAGCCATGCCTTATTCCCACCATTGCTTAGAGTATCAGCCCAAACAATTTTTATTTTTATAATAAGAAATCCCTCATTTACTCCTTTGAAAATGCCTCTCTATTTTCCTGACCAATGCATATCATAATTAAAGTTTCCCAAAAGAGGTTCACATGTTCAAGCTCCTAAAACAGAAGAACTTGTAAGTGAGTCTCTTTCTTAAGAGGGAAAAATTTTAGAATGTACCATGCAGTTTGTCTCTGAATACATCCAGGAATTCCAGCTCAAAACAGTCTGAAACTAACACTGGTCATAAAGAAGCAGGAAGAAAATGCAAGGGTTTTATTCTCAGGCTCGGCTCAAAACTCCATCTTCTCTTTCCTACGCTCTGGAAGCAGACACAAAGGTCACAGTGGAAATGCTCCCCCTCACTTCTTGGCTCTTCCCAATCTCCCTTGCCACTTGGGTTACCTTTAAGCCTCTTGCCAAAAAGGAACTGGCCCTGCTGCCAGCTCTGAATACAGGGCACCTGGGGCAATTTGGGAGCCCAGAGGAAATAGTAGAGAGTGGAACTGCACATTTAATTGGAGTTGACAATATTGAAGATGTGACTGAAGTAAATCAACAAGTTATTGATCATGCAAAGATTATCTCAGATTTCAGACTATAAAGTATATAGACAACACTTTCCCATTGGCCAAGAAATACAGTCTTGAAGCCTAAGAAAACATTCTCTGAAATATGTTTGCACAGGGAAACTTTTAACATGTGCAAGGGCCTTTCAGAAACATAAATGGACATGCTGAATCTTTTTAAGAGAAGTCTCTGGAGGCCACCCTTGTCTTATCAGGGCAGCCAGGGCTTTTCAAGGAGAGGCATTACTTGAGGCTGAGTGCAGTGAAAATTAACAGTAACAAAAATACAACCCATGTGGGTGGGGGCATGCTTACACCCAGGGTAAGAAAGGAAAGTGGCAGAGGAAACACTGGCCTGGCAGAAAAGATGTGGTGGGATGGGGAAGGGAGCAAGAGGCTACCCATCCCTATAAACATCTGCTACACCCTGGGAAAGGAGATTTGTCATTTCTGGCAAAATGCTTGCTTTGGAAAGTTTGCATCAGCCAAAACCCTGGTGTTAAAGCTGCATCTAAATAATGCACACCATGTGTGTCCGTTTCTGTAGTAATTATTTGTTGAAGCCCAGCAAAATGGTCAGTGTTGTAGGCACTGAAAAAGATGTCTTTGGCCAGAGAGTTCATAACCTCATTTATTTAGGCTATTTAGAATAAAGCATAAAAATAAAACTGTCTCTTATGCCTAAACTATCCGTACTACTCCCAATCTACCTCCCAAAAATAAATATAAAACAACCAACCCACAGGAATGAAAAAACAAAATATGTAAGAGGTTTAAATGATCCTTGGGGGAGAGAACACTTATTTAATACACTCCAGCATTTTGAAAGGGAAATGAAGGGGAAAACATAGAACCCAGTGAAGGGAGAAATCCATTCCCTGCTATGTCAGTTCTCAGTGGCATGAGTTTATGATGGGATTGTTCTCTCTCCCAGCCCCACGGGAGACAGTGTTCACCAGAGGCCCCTCATCATTATGATTGCGACTTTGCAGGTCCCCTGTCAGGCAGTGGCAGCTGCTGAGGCACACCAGGTAGCTAAGTCATTTATGCTGTTTGGGGAAAATGGGACCAACACAGGAAATTATTTTTGTGAAAAAAGCAATAATTGTAAAAAGAAACAAATAAATAAGAGCAGTGGGTGTTTTCCCCCATCAATGTCAGCAAGGTGACCTCCATACCATGGCTTTGGGAGAAGGAAAAAAAATTGGCCAGCCAAAAGCCAAAGGATGTTAGGTCAGCATGTCACCACTGGCAGAAAAGCCAAGCTGCTGAGGGCAGTCCCACCCGAACCTAACTTACTCATTAACTGCATAGCCAGAGTCGGCTGCTTAACCGATGGGTGAGCCTCCGTTTCCCCATCTGTAAAGTAGGGACAATAATATCTTTTTATAAGATTACAGAACATTTGAAATGATGTTACAAATGGACTACTTAGCCTGGTGCCTGGCATATCCATGCTCAGTTAACAGGATCAGTTTAATGTTGCGTTTCTGGGACTGTTGCTGCAAGGAAACAGAATACTACACAGAGGGAGTTTCATACAGAGCATGGTGCTTCATGAGTGGTCAGTGTAGGGCAGTGCTTATTCTTGTTCTTACTATGATCTTGGACATCATGGCTTTTGGAGAGAACTAACATCAGAGCAGGAGGAAAAGAAGGGCATCCTCCAGTATACCCTGCCCCTGAATCTGTCATTCCAGACACTGGCTGCCTCCAATCAGCATTCGTGGGTCAGGAAACTCTGCTAACAAAAATCCACACACTCAAGGACAAACTGCAAAAACAAAGAATAGATGGAGCAGAGCAGCCGCATAGCCAGGCAGCACCTGCAGCCATGTTCAGGCACATGCTTGCACACACGGACTGACACAGCCTCATTTCTGGAAAGAACCTCAACATGTATTTATCCCTTTGTAATTCTTAGGAACACCCAATATTAAGCAAGAAATTATAAAGAAGAGTGAGATAAGAACACAGGTGCTTTCTTTTTCCACGTTGGCGGTGGGGCAGGAGGTGGGTGTAGGAGTTAAAGAGATGGGCATGAGGGTTACAGAGCAGCGTCCCCACGGTACGTTGTGATCCACTATGGACAGAGATAGCAATGTGGAGAGACTTAGTTAACATCTTTTTAATTATCAAGAAGGGAAGGGAAAGGAAGAAAAACAAAGAAAAGAAAAAGAAAGGGAAAGGAAGAGAAAGAAAAGAATGAAAAGGAAAAACCTTAGCACTGACCACACGTAATACAGGTGGAACAGTCAGATTGTTTGGTGCCACTCTTGTTTCTGTTGTCATGTAAAATGTCAGTGCAGGTCAAGGTGCGAGACAGCACATGATCCCAGTACAGACGACTCAGCTCCTGCTAAGGCAGCCCCAGCACAGTCAGTGCCCTCCTGACACATGGCACAATGGAGAGAACCAACAAAGGCTTCTCCTCCAGTCCTTTCCTGCTACTGTTAGAAAAGGCTAACCAAATGGCTTTAGTGTTCTTCTCTCGGAGTTATGACAAGGGATTACATTCACAAATGTAAATAAAGTGTCGGAGCAGTGCCCAGTGCCTCAAACGTACCATATAAATGTTGGCTGGGGTTGGGTTCATGATGGCTGAACACATAGACATCTGCTCTGAATCACAGCTCTCTTGGCCAGAAAGCACACACAGAGAGTGTGAAGCTGGACACAGAAAGAAGGAGATCTGGTTCTGTCCAGGTTTTCTGCTGCCCTGGACAGCAGGAGAAGGACAGATTCCTCACCTGGGCAGAGAGGTCAAAGGTGGCTTCGGTCTGGATCCCTCTCACATTGCTCCCCTGGCCCCTCTCGGTCATTGCAAACATCCCAGTGTATTTCTGCTCCTGTAGTTTACCAGATGTTAGAAGGGAATTAGCTGGTCTGACAGTTGCTCCAAATTCAGACCTCCCAGACCATTAAGAAAGATGTTGAGAGAGAGAGAGAGAGGTGGGTTGGAGAAAATTATTAAAACACAGTCTGATGATAGCGAATGTGAGTTTAACAACATGACAGGCTCAATGCAATATAAAAAAGATAGTCTTGGAATTTTCGTTCTCAACAAGACTTTTGATGACACAAATTCTGTTTTATTTTGTTTTTCTTCAAACACATACATATGCATATCTATCTACTATATATTTTTAAGGCTCTCCATAGAAGACCAATATTGAGGAAATCACCATACCTGGAGTGGCTGAAACCACTTAGTAACATGTTCAGGGCTGCCGAGATTCCTGATAGCACCACCAAATAGCCAATAAATTATTCCACACTGGAAAAAAGGACAATACAAACCATCATTAGCAACAGCCAACAATCTAAAGACAATTAAATCCATGGCCAAACTCCTCAGGAAGCAGCTATTCAGCTCCCTGTGCTTTACGTAAGCCCTGCAAGTGGCATGCTTATTTGCCCTTCCTCTTCACTGCCTGGTGAGCTCCAGCTTCTCTCTGCAGATGTGGCTCATGAGTCACTCTCCTGGAGAGGCCCTCCCAAGTCCACAGAAAGTCAGTCCTCTATCCTCAGGCCTCCCAGATACCCCCATCAGATGAATGCTCTGAAACACAGAATGATTCTGCTTTGTCCTCTCAGGATCTAGCTTGGGGCCTGAGGAAGAAGACAAGTAAGAAGTGCATGTGCAATGACCCTCGACGTTGACCCCTGTCTGCGAGGTGAGTCCTGCTGTGAGAAACAGTGTTTCCTTTCAGGAAGGCAGAATGGAAGAGGCGATGCTGCAAAACAAGCAGGCACACAGCTTGGGATGAGCGCCTGGAGTTCTAATTCCAGGTCAGCTACCCACTGGCTGGTGGATCTTGGACAAAGACATAGTAGCCTCGGCTTCCTCATCTGATAAATGAATGGTGAGAGTACTTGCTTACTGAGCTACACACACACAAACTTGTTGAGTCTCACAACAACCCTGGAGAGAAGCCATCATCATCACAATTTAATTCGGGAAACTGGGATTCATGGAGGAAAAGTGTCTTACCCAAGGCTACACCCTCAGAAAGTGGGAAGGACTGAGGCTGAAACCCAAGCTGCCTAATGCCTAATGGTGCTTCATATGGTGGCCATGAGGATTCAGTGAGTCAACCACCAAGCCCTTTGCTTGGTCTTTTGTGGGTTTTTAGTTTGTTTTTTTTTTAAGAGACAGGGTCTCACTTTTTCACCCAGGCTGGAAGGCAGTGGCACGATCATAGCTCACATAGCATTGTTAAAATCCCAGGCTCAAGCGATCCTCCTGCCTCAGCCTCCTGAGTAGCTGGGACTAGGGACTACAGGCACACACTACCACATCTGGCTATCTTTTTTTTATTTTTAGTAGAGACGAAGTCTTGCTATGTTGCCCAGTCTGGTCTCAAACTATTGAGCTCAAGAAATCCTCCTACCTCAGCCTCCTGAAGGGCTGGGATTACAGGCATGAGCCACCATGCCCAGCCTGCCTGGTCTTTTGTGAACCCTGGAAAAGTGTCCCTGACAAAGAGGAGGAGAAAGAGAAAGAGGATGAGGATGAGAAGGAGAAGAAACAGGAAGAGATAGAGTGGCTTGAGCAGGGCCATTTGGAAGGAGCAGGGTGACTGACTGCAAAGACAGAAGAACTTGAACGTAGGGACATTTGCTGTGTCTACAGGTCAGAGTTCCTTTCCTGTCCTAGCTATACAACCCTAATCTTTACCTGGGGAGCCCTCCTCCTCTACAATCTGTACAAGTGGTTTGTGGGTGATGTTGACAGCACTCCCAGCTTTAGGATGAGTTGGGAGCCCAGGACTGGCCCAACGATGGCTCTCAGGATGGATTCATGATCTGGCTGGGTCCATTTGGCGTGCAAGCCAGGACACAAGGCTGAGCTATTGTGAAAGAAAAGGACTCTTTTGTGATGCTATGGAATCTGGAGGATGGAAGCCTGGAGCCATATAGCCATGAGCTGGTGAATGAAGCCAAAGTTTGAGGACCAGGTTGGGGGAAGGAGGCACAGTAGAGAGATGGCAGAGACCAGGTCCTGCACACCCAGACCTGAAGCCTGCTGCACAATAAACTCTTGAATTACAGCAGCCAATAAGTGCCTTTTTTGCTTAGGCAAGGTTAGAGTGGCCTTTTTTTTTCCTGGGGCCACTGCATCTAGATGAGCTCTCTGTTCATTCCCCACATGTATGAACAACCTGGTATTAACTTTGTGAAATGGTACTTGATCAATTCTAGCAGCTCGGATCAGCTAACATGCTCTGGCATCAGGACAGATGAATTTCACTAGTCACATCTGATATGTGAAGTGCTTTTTATTTGGAGAATCATAAATTATCCTGGGAAAATGATTCACACCCTGATGACTCAGCTCACTTCTCTACAGAATCATCGCGGGCACTGCAAATTGCATTACTAATTCCAACACGGGAAATGGAAGCAACCCAAATGGTACATGTTTTTCCCTAAACCGTTATCTTGGAGTTAAATTTTAAAAAATTATTTTTCTAAAACTAAAACAAGTTAGGTTTTCTACCTCTAAATCTCTTTGGCTGGTGCCTAATACACTCTTGACAATATATTCCTTTTCTAGGTTTTAAATCTTTTCCTCCTCTTTAGGAAGAGGAAAAAAAAAAACCTAGAGTGTTTTATCCACATTTTGAAAGCCCCATGCATGAAATGTCTTGGCATCCTGGCCTGTGGAAGTGAACCTGTAAGTTTGCAGGAAACTACAGCAGTTGACAGAGGCAGCATCTGCATGACCTCAATCCACACAGTCAGGTAAAGTGTGGGGTTCATTTCCCACAAAATCCATATCCTCTGAATGGCAGGTAATGCAACCAAGCCAGGCCAAATGCAGGTGGACATCTTGGGGACTGGAAGTGGAGGGCTCCCTGGCCTGACACGCTTTTAGCAGGTGCCCCCTGGGAGAAGCATGGGCTCCAGCCCACAGGACAGGAAGGAGACAGACAGGGAAGTAGGAAAGTAGAGGGATTCGGGGTAGATTCTGGAGGCAGAGCTGGTGGACAGGATTTGGGAGGAGAAGGAAAGAGAGGACTCTGGAGGACACCTGGGTCTATAACCTGAGTTTTCAGGAGGATGAGGACCTATTGATTGCAGTGGAACTGCTTGGAGGAGGGGCTGGGAGGGGCCAGAAGGAGGGGATGGACACCTTAAAACAGAAATACTGAGACTGATGGAAGGTAGGCATCAACCCATCACATGGGAGTGTCACAAGTATCCTCTCGGAGGACACTTGGGGCATTCCTGTCAGACTACCCGCATCCTGCCCCCAGCAGACCTCAGGGAACAGGACACAGAGAGGACCATTTGCTCTGAGAGAGACTGCAAAAATCAGCGGTGAGAGAGAAAAAGTAGAGTTGGTGGGGAGACACCTAATGAAAACTCCAATTTCAACTACGCACCCACCTTGTTTGAGAAAGCCCCTCTCTCCTTTCTCACTTGTCAAGGGAAGAAAAAGGACAGCTATGACATGGAGCATATGAGGTGATGGTCACCACATGCCCAATGAGGGCCGGCAGCAGCCTCCAGAGGCTGCAGTGCCAGCTAGCTGAGGGCTGGGAGGTGCAGCCAGGATAGCTCACAGGGGCTAAAGGACGGAACTATGGCAGGGCTTCTTAGCTTCTGAATAAAGAGTAAAAGGGGACATCCTGAAATGGAAGGGAAATCTGCTGGGTTAGAGGTGGGAAGGCAGGCTGGTTGCACCTCAACACACTAACGGAGCTACTGCCTGGAAGACTGTAGGGCTGGGTCCCCAGCCATGTCCCAGGAGGTTACAGTCCCCACCACTTATGAAGCTCCTGCTACCAGCCAGGCTTGGCATGGGGATCCTGGTAGGCATTACTGATCTAAATATACACACAGCCTATGAATGGGCATTAGAAATGCCATCTTTACAGAGTGTCCCCCTGCCATGATGGAACAGTGAGGTCTATCCCATGGGCAGGAAGCCAGCTGGCTTCCCGGCTGCAATAGGCCAGGCCATTCCTATACAACAGCCCAACAAGGGTCTCCTAAAGAGACTTCAAGTGTATTCAAGATCTCCTAATTCCAAGAGCAAATTTCCACAAATAGAAAACTGGAAGTGTTTTTTTAGACAGTGGGACCCCAGAAATGGACTGAATTTTTTTCCCCACAAAATTCATATGTTGAGGCCCTAACTCTAATGTGATGGTATTCGGAGATGGAAACTTTGGGCAATGGTCAAGGTTAAATGAGCTCATGAGGGTAGGACTCCCATAATGGGATTAGTGCCCTTAAGAGGAAAAAAGACCAGCACCTCTCTTCACCAATGAGGACACAATGAGAAGGTGGCTGTCTGCAAGCCAGGAAAAGAACGCTTACCAGAACCTGACCATGCTGGCACCCCGATCTTAGACTTTACAGCCTCCAGAAAGGTGGGAAAATAAATTTCTGCTGTTTGAGCCATCCAGCCCATGGTATTTTGTTATGGCAGTCCAAGCAGGCTAAGACAGATAGTAGGATGATTCAAGTAAGGGAAAAGAAACAGTCAGAGAGGCAGGAAAGGAAGCATGACTGGTTTCTTTCAGCCTTAGTTAGAGTCCTTCCAGGTTGCATCCATGTTTTTGGCAGGAAACCTGGGCTGGCTCACAAGCTAGAGTGGGGATTCAAAGCACCAATAAAGACAATCTTTTTCCCTGGTACCTCGCTAGTGTGCTCACTCCTGTCACTGTGAGCCACTGTTGGAGCCAGCCCCCAGCCCTGCCAGCATTTGACCATGTGAGTACAAATGAGTTTGTTCAAAGTTCTTAGGGAAATGCAAAGCCACTGGATAAACAGACCGAGAGAGAGAGAGAAAAGGGGCTTGAACATGCAGGGCATAGCTGATTTTGATAAATTGATGCTAACGCCTCTTCCTCAGATTGACAGCCAGCTCCTGTGAAAAACAGTGGCTCTTGAGCTGGCAGCGGCATCTGGGGAACCCCTGACTGACCCAGAGCTCACAGGGTCTGTTTCCAGCACACCACATGCCCTCCTGGCATCTCCTCCATCACCAGTAGAAAAGACAGCCACAGTCCTCCCGGGGGCTGCACAATCTATAGTTTCCTCTAATTGTCTAGGGTTTCTAAGCTCCAGGAAAAAAAAGAAAAAAATCTCCTGCAATTACTGATATGTGGGACAGCAGGGTTAATAATAATTTTTTGATTGTTATTTTTATTTGTGGCAAAATATATATAGTATAGAGTTTGCCATTTTAGCCACTTTTAAGCATACAATTCAGTGGCATTAAGTACAGCCACAATGTTGTACAACCATCACAAATGTTCCCAAAACATTTTCATCATTGCAAACAAAAGCTCTGTACCTATTAAGCAATAACTCCCATTCTCCCCTCCCTCCCACCTCTCGTTATCTCTAATTACCTTCTGTCTCTATGAATTTTTCTATTCTAGATATTTTATATAAGCAGACTCATATAATATTTGTCCTTTTATGTCTGGCTTATTTCATGTAACGATTTCAAGGTTCATTCACATTGTGGTATGTGTCTGAACTTCATTCTTTTTTATGGCTAAACAATATTCCATTGTGTGTATATACCGCATTTTGTTTATCCACTCCTCCGTTGACGGAAATGTGGCTTGTTTCCAGCTGTTAGCTATTGTGAATCATGCTGCAATGAACATTGGCACACAAGCATTTATTTCAGTCCCTACTTTCAATTCTTTAGAGTATGTATCCAGTTAGTGGAATGCTGGGCTGTAGAGTAATTTTTATGTCCTACTTTTTGAGAAACCACCATATTGTTTTGTTTTTATGTGTATATTTAATACGCAAGTATTGACACATTATGAGTACCAAGAATGCAAGGGTTATAGTTTTCAAGGAGTTTTCCCTCTAGTGGTAGTAAGAGAAATAAAGTAATTCCATGAATAAATACATAGATTCAAAATGGGTACAGGTTATGGCAGAAAACTATAAAAAGCAAAGACAGATGAAGGCGAGTGGATGGGACTCAAGTTGCAGGCTTGAGAGGGGCATCCCTGTGGGAAGGACACTTTAGCTGGGACATGAAGAATGAATAGGGGTCAGCCAGGTGAAGGAGGGGAAAGACCAAGCTAGGGCTGGTAGCAAGAGGTCCAAAGGTGGCTAAAATGAACCAGCAGAAGGAGAAAGTGGAACAGACGTGACCAGGGCCACATTTGCAAGGACCCATAGGCAACATCAAGGATTAGAGGATGTTTCTAAAGCATAATGGGGAAAACGAGGTTTTAAGCAGGAAAGTGGAGTGACCATAGAAGTATTTCAAACAACTTTTTCTTTAAGTCCATGCCACTTTCCTTCTAGGATACTCAGAAGCTTTCAAAAAAAAAAAAAAAAAAAAACGTATTATGGGAAAAAATCAAACAAAATAGAAGCAATGAACTCAAAGATGGCCAGCTCACGGCCCATTTTTCTTCATCTCCCTCCCCCCAGCCACCCCCATGTACTTTCCTTTCATACACCGCAGGCTATCCTGACGTTTATCCTTGACATCATATTAGGTCTTCCCTGAATATTTCCAATACATAAGTAAAAGATGCAGATTCTTTTTAAAACATAGTCCTAAAACCATTATCCCACCTAAAAATATAGTACTCATTCTCTAATATCATGAAATGTTCAATGTTCAGACTTCCCCAACTGACACACAATTTTTTTTCTTTTTACAAATAGTTTGCTGTTTGAACAAGATGTAAATAGGATACACACATTGCAATTGGTTAAAATGCTTCTTAAGTCTGCCTTAAGCTACAGGCTGCCCCTTCCCTCATTCATTCAGACATTCCCTTTGCAACTCCATGGACTAAGCTCAGTGCAAGACCCTGGAAACCAGAGGAGAGGGCTCCCTACCCACAGAGCTGCCACCACCCATGGAGCTATCCCTATGGTCACAATCCACAGAGGCCTGCTAAAGAGAAGGTAGGTGGGGTGGGGGTGCAGTATGGTAAAAGCACAAACTGGGATCATAGGAGTCTGGACCAGGATCCTCTGGCATTTCTGAGAGGGAATCTATCTGTTGCATCTCAGCTAACTGCTTTCTCTGAAAGCCACAGCCAACCCATCAAAGAGGGAAGAGATCATGCCTGGCTGAAATCACGGAACGCCTAGTCTTCCTGGAAAAACCTGATGGTGGACACACCCACCACAAGATGGCACTCACAGATTCCTTTGTTTTTAATTCCTACCTACCCATAGACAATGTCTACACCAAACTGAAATCACCGCCATATTGGACTCATTGCCAATTGGCCTGGATTCTTGTCTGATCATTTTGTCTTCATGTTCTAGTTGTAATTGTTCCTCTTTGGGGACATCAGGACTGGGTGTTTGGATATGAGAAATTATTTTGAGACCCAGTGGTGTCCAGGGAGGGAAAGGAGGCCCCCATGAATGACTCTCTGCTGGATGGCCTGGGCAGCATGAGTGGCCGCAGGAGACACACCCACCTGAGCTATTTTGTTCACCATCCTTGGTAAGCTGGAACATGCAAGATAATTGTCTTCCCTCAAGACAATAAGATGCCATTCTATAAAAATTTGCCAAAAATGGAGAAGTCGAAGAATTCCAAGGATGAGAGAGGATATGGATCTACAGAACCCAATTACATGCTGTTGGTAGGAATGTGAATTGATGCACTAACTTTGGAGAATAGATTAACACTACTCTTTAAAGTTAAGCATTCATTCATCCTGTAACTAGCAATTCCATTCCTAGTTGAATACCTAAGGAAAGATTTTACCCATTTTCAACACCAGACATGGACACATGGACAAGAGTATTCACAGCAGCAGTTTTCACATTAGCAAAATCCTGGAAACAACATCAGAAAGTGGATGAACAAATGCTGTGGTATATTCACACAGAGGAATATTATACAGTGGTCAAAACATTCTTCCATTGCTATATCATTCCCCAAATGTCAAAACTATAAAGATGGAGAACAGATTAGCGGTTGCCAAAAGACAGGGGTAGAGTGGAGGCCAAATGAAACTGTAAAGGGGTAGCACCGGAAGTTTCTTTCTGATGATGGAACAGTTCTATATCTTTTTTCTTTTCTTTTATTTCTTTTTTTTTTTCTGAGACGAAGTCTCACTCTTGTACCCCAGGCTGGAGTGCAATGGCATGATCTGGGCTCACTGCAAGCTCTGCCTCCTGGGTTCAAATGATTCTCCTGCCTCAGCCTTCCGAGTAGTTGGGATTACAGGCATGTACCACCATACCTGGCTAATTTTTGTATTTTTAGTAGAGACGGGGTTTCACCATGTTGGCCAGGCTGGTCTCGAACTCCTGACCTCAGGTGATCCACCCACTTCGGCTTCCCAAAGTACTGGGATTACAGGCGTGAGCCACCGTACCCCTCCAGTTCTATATCTTGATTGTGGTAGTAGTTACATGAATCTACATATGGGGTCAAACGGCATAAAACTATACACACACACACACACAAAATTGAGTGCATGTAAAAACTAGTGAAATCTGAATAGCGTCTATGTCCTATTTAACAGTGCTGTACTAATATTGAGTTCCTGATTTTACATCTCATTACTGCTATATAAGATGTCACCATGACTAAAAGGTTCTCATGACCTGATGTACTATTTTTGTAACTTTCTGTGAGCTTTATTATTTCAAAATAAAAAGGTTTTTTATTTTAAAATTTAGTGAATACAGGGACACACAACAATTTGGATCAATCTTAGCAATAATATTCAAGTGAAGAAAGAAAATGACAAAGTATTATGGTACTGTTTTTATAAAATTAAGACAAAGGAAAATAACCGAATGACACAAATGTAACAAAACTGTACAAAGAAGAAAAGCAAATTAAAAACAAAAACAGGATAGGATGTAATGGTTAAAGCAGCAGCCAGGGACGGGGTTTGAGGTATGCCATTTTACCAACTCCTGTGCCACTATATAGACTGACAGAGTTCACGCAGTTATAGTGTTCATTCCTTGGCATGCAAAGCGAGCATGAGTTGGTGCAGGGCAGGTGCCCGATGCCTCTCACCTTCACTCCTGTGGCCATGTCCACCATGGAAAGGACTTCCCCTATGACGAGGCTTCAGCTGACAAAGTTCTTTGTTTTCTCTGCCTGAAAACATGACAGACTCAATATCAAGGTTTCCTTATGGCTTCCTGACTTGTTAAATTCACAGTCTTTATACTAAATGCATGTTAGTTTTATAATGAAAAAATAAACACAATAAAAGCAACTTTTGAATTAAGAAATAATTCTATTGCTCTACTAAAGTAAACATTTTCTTTTCTTTTTTTTTTTTTTTTTTTTAATGTGGCTTTCTGGTCTCTAACCATGTTAGTGTTAATGACTCTTCTTATACAATCGTCATCTGCATCCGCATGGAGGCCAGCCTGCGACTGACTTGCCTCATGCCTTGCTTTGCCTTCTCCAGGTTTGTCCCTCCTAGCTCCTGGTGTTCCCTTTACAGGCTAGCACCCCCACAGTTCTCTCCAGCTCCTCCAATGTGTGCCACAGCCTGCAGCCTCTCTGTACTGATGTCTCAACCAACAGAGGACACCTGGATGGAGCCCTGCTGACAATCTATTTTTTTTTTTTTTTGTAGAGACAGGGTATCGCTATGTTGCCCAGGCTGTACATGAACTTCTGGGCTCAAGCAATCATCCTGGCTCAGCCTCCCAAGAAGCTGGGACTACAGGCATGCACCATGGCACACAGCTTCAGTGACAATCTTGATGTAAGGATGGAGGATTGGAAACGTCTGAGAGCATTCTGGACACAGGAAAAGCAGTATTTTTACTTTGCATCTGTAGACCATCTCAGGGCTTTGATGATTTAAAAATTATGAAGTCCAAATTCCCTCTCATCACTCACTGTACACAACAGCAACAAATCCCAAGGCTATACGAGCATATTCTTCTCCACCAGTGACGAATGAGACATGGCAAAAACGCTGTACATGTTTTATTTTAAAAATTCAGAGGCAGCCGGCATTTCCTTAGAAGGTGGTGGGCCCTTGAGTGGGCAAAGTGCAGCTGTCCGTTGTTGGAATCAGTGCTAGTTGTCCTTGTTTGCCAGTCTCTTCTGAGACCCAGGCAAAAAATCTGGTGCTTGTTACCCATGTGTGTATGTGTATGTACATGTGTGTGCACGTCTGTGTGCACATGTCCATGTATGCATGTGTGTATGTTCATGTCTGTGTGTGTGTGTGTAGTGCTCCACCAGCAGCAGGATGATAACTAATCTTCCTTGGATGTCTTTCAATTTCCACATTGGCTAAAGCTCTCATCCCAAACACACTCTAGATTTTTCCCTCCCATAGATTTTTACAATGTTTCTCTCAAGCATTATTAACTTGATCAAACAGCAGACTGTCAAGATTGATGACTCTTATCATGGCTCCAACCCAATACATCTTGTATTGATTTTTCCTAAAATATCTCCAGGCTTCAGCATAAACCACTGCATGACTCCAGCTTCAGCTCAGACTGCTGAAGTTATTACCAACAAATAATAAAAGACAACTAAAGCAGATATTTGCAGACTTTTTTAGAGGGCCCAAGTGTCCTTTGTTGCACAGATTCTTACAACATCCCTACATGGGAGGCTAACAGGACAGAAAAGACTGACGCCACCTAACAGATAGAAAATCCCAGGCTCAGGGAGGTCAAATGACTTGTCTTACCAGAGTCACCTGTTAAATGAAGAGCAGTATCCAGTATCAGATCCGGAGCTTCAGGTTTTGCATCAGCATATCCTGCCACCAGCCCTCCCTGCTCCTCATTATTAGGCCGAGAGAAGGCATGGGACTCCGAGTGGCCCAGCCTTCCTCATTGGCCCAATTTTTCACCACCAGCCTTGTCCCCAAAGAGCACCTGACATCAACCTCTCTTGGGCCCCCAGTTCATCTTTCTGAGAGTCATCCTATCTAGAATCATCACAACAAACCCTTCCTTGCCACCAGCTCTGTTTTAGCCAAACCAAAATCATCAGGAATAAGCACTGCCCCCCTAATTTCCAACTGTTCATAGCTTTCTTCATACTTCATTCTCTTCATGTACATGGTCAATGCAGGTGTATGACTTTGCTATTAATGGTGTTCAACTGTGGTCATTTTTACTCACCATTTGAAATAATTGCAAGGACATTTACTGAAGAATCAACCTGAAATTTAGCCACCATAGAGCATTACAAATTATCTATGACAGTTACTTCCCTTCCCTTTTCTCTGCAGGTGACAGTGACCTTTGCTATTAGATCTGATGGGGAATGACAATAGGAGCTCGCCATTAATTCTCTGATGTTGATTTCAGCATTATTTGTACTAATCCATTTCAAGATGCCAAACCAAAATTCCAGAACTGAGAATAGGCTTAATAAGAATGACTGCCTTACTGGTATATATTTTTAACATCTTTTCACACATAATTTCCCTATGTTCTTTCATTCTTATTTTATTTCTGATTACTTGTTCTTAATTAAAGAATGTCTAATATTGATAAGTTTCACCTCTCATTGAAATGGCAGCACTAACTGAATGCTCTATAATGATAATGATCAATCAACAGTTATGTGCTTTTCTGCATTCATTTTTGCAGCAATTCTACTGTATCAATAGCTATCTTCATTTACACTTAATATATTCAAAGCAAATTCAAACTCCACAGTAGCATGTAAGTTTGTAGTTATTTTAAATAATAATAATTCCATAAATGTATGGATACTATACCCAAGTTTATGGTTTATCCTAAATTAGAGCTATTCACATTTATACTTAATAAATTCAGCCTCAAACAAAGAAGATAGCTTTTCTTAAAATACTCCCCTTTCTTTGTAGAGCACTTGATGTAACAGACCACTGTAATGTAATAATCTGTTACAAATTCTGCAAAAACGTATGTTTTTACAGAGTAGTCTCTAACAGACATATATACTTCTCAACTAAAACCACCATGATTTGGAAAAGGTTGGATGTGTAGTCTGAGCTGTCTTTCCTCATGTTAGCCCACACGACCTCCTTTGCAACCCGTGGGCAGCCCTGATCATGTTGCCAGCTGAGGGTTCCCGGTGCAGAGAGGTCTCAATCTTCATTTTCTAATAGCAGTTCCCAAACTGGAATATTTGCTTCTTCTATCTTCTGGCTTCAATTTTTAGTTGTGTATTCTCAGACTTACTGAATACATGTCCTTTGTTCTAATTAGCATCAAATTATTTTAGAAAGAGGGGGTCAGTGGACAATGCACAAATAAATGAGTTTCAAAGATTCCGTCATCCAGAGCTGGCGCTAAGCAAGACTTATGCCTCCTGGGCTAACCAGCCCTGGCCTTCCCGCCAAAAGACCCCAAGTCTGGCCACTTCTTAACATCTCTTCACCACACTCCTGTGCCCTGGACTATAATAACAGCCTCTTGACTGGCTTCCTGTGTCCATCCTGCCCCAAACATCAGGCACTATGAGCTTTTTATTATTAGTTATTAAAGTAAAATTTACAGCAAGTGAAATGCACAGAGCTTAAGCGCATGAGTTATGGTCAATTATCTACCTGTGTAACCATCACATCAATCAAGAACACAGGGCATTCCCTTTCCCCAGCAGGCATCCCCACGTCCCTCTGCAGCTAGTCCCCACCTCTACAGGCAACCACTGTTATCTTCTCTTTCTTCGTTTTTTAGAGATGGAGTCTTGCTTCATAGCTCAGGCTGGAGTGCGATGGTGTGATCGTAGCTCACTGTAGCCTCAAACTCCTGGCCTCAAGGGATCCTCCTGCCTCAGCCTCTTGAGTAGCTGGGATGACAGGTGTGCCATCACAGCCAGCAAATTTTCTTTTTTCCTGGAGACAAGGGTCTCACTATGTTGCCCAGGTTGGTCTTAAACTCCTAGTCTCAAGCAATCCTCCTCCCTCAGCCTCTCAATTGCTGGGATTACAGGTGTGAACCACTATTACCCCCAGCCTAACACTTCTCTTTGTATCACCATCCACTGTTTTGGCCTGTTCATGAAATTACACAAGCAGGAAACAGTATGTGCTCTGCAGGGTCTGCCTTCTTCCATGCAAATGAGGCATCTGTGTTAAACTAAGGATATCCATAATTCAGTTTGAATGGTTTCCATCTATGAATAATTTATGATTTGTCTAAATGAAACTCTTTGGTGAACATTTGGGTTGCTCCCAGTTTCAGGCTCTGATGAACAAAGTTGACATAAACATGTATGCACAAATATTTTTGGGGACATGTGTCTGTTTCTCTTTTGTAAATCCTTAGGAATGCAACTGTGGAGTTAAAATGTAGGTTTAGTTTTGTAGGGAACAGCCAAACGGTTTTTGAAAACGATCGTACCATTTTACACTCCTCCCAACAGTGAATGAGAGTTTAGTTTCTCCGCATTCTACCAGCATTGTCCGTCTTTTCCATTTTTAGCTATTCTAGAGGCAGTATAATGTTATCTCACTACAGCTTAAAGCTGTATTTCTTGGGTGAACAGGGATGCTGAGCACATTTTCATATGCTTAACCGCCATTTTAAGTGTTCAAGTCTTTTGCCTCGTTTTTAAAATTGGGCTGTTTGTCTTTTTATCATCAAGTTCTAGGGATTTTTTATATAATATGGGTATAAATTCTTTATATGTGGACATAAGTTCTTATCAGATATATGCATTACAGATTTTTTTCCTACTTTGTACATTGCATTTTTATTCTCTTAATGAATTTGATGAACAGCAGTTTTTAATTTTAATGTAGACCACTTCATCGGTATATTTTCTTGAACGTGTTCAAGTGATTTCTGAGTCTCCTCTAAGAATCCCTGACTATCCTAATAGGACATTCTCCTTTATTATTCTACAAATGTAGTAATTTTCAAGTATCCGTTCAGGTGTCTAATGAGCCTCAAATTAGTTTTGGTGTAGCATGAGGTAGGGATGAAAGTTAATCTATATGCTTATCTAGTTGTTCCAGCATCAATTATTGCAAAGACATTGCTTTCCCCATTGAATTGCCTTGGCAACTCAACTGGTTATATATGTGAGCATCTTTCAGAACTCACCATTCTATTCCATTGATCTCATTGTCTTTCCTTATGCCAATACCACATGATCTTAAGCAGCTTTATAATGTAAGCGCTGAAGTCACGTAGTGAGTCTTCTAACTTTGCAGTTTTTTAGAATTGCTTTAACTCTTCTAGGTCCTTTGCATTTCCATATATGTTTTGAATCAACCTGCAAATTTGGATCAAAGTACTACAACATTTTTAAAATAAGCATCACATTGTGTTCCTTTTTCCCTCTTCTCTCCCCGCACCACAGCGAACACCTCCAATGACTCCAGTTACCACTGCAAGAAAATCTAACCCTCTCACCAAATCCTCCATGTCTGGCCCTTCTTTCTCCTTGCTGGTTCCTGGGGCCACATAGTATGCCAGCTGCACAGATCCTGGGAGTATTCGGTAACAAAGGGTATATCCATGTACTTCCGTTCTCTTCAAGGGCCTTTGACTACTCCAGGAAAGCCCAGTGTAGGAATGATGAAAGGTGACATTCCCATGACTCTAAGGATATTTTTCTCTTCATGACATTATTGCAGGACCCTGACAGTGTAGGATTTTACAAATTCTTACCTCAAATTTAATACCTCTTCCCTTGGCAGAGGTATTACTACCAAATCCTAGTTACCTTGAAATTTTTTCTAATTATTAGTGTAATTACAGAATTGATTGATAGTGGTGGAATGAACATATCTTATTGACATTACCAGCTGGATGTACAAGCTTACTTTTCTGCAGCATTCTACATTTATTTTAATGGAAATTAATGGTCACTTATAATTTTTGGCCCATGAGCAAATATTGTTCCCATTATTCTACATTGTGAGAGATAAAATATATCACAGGACTTAAACACTCGATGGTCAAGCAGTACTACCACTGAGCGTTCATTCAGCACTTCCTATGTGCCCAAACACTGTC